CGCCGGGCGCAAGGCCAGCAGACGACCCCGCCGGCTCCTCCATGGACGCCGGGCCTTCGACCACCACCAGGACGACGACACCGACGGGGGCACGCTCAAGGTCCAAGACGGCGGCGGGGTTCCGCGAGCACCTGAGCGACGAAAGGATCCGCCAAATCGAGATCAACATGACCGACGACTATCGGCAGCACAAGCGGGCTATGCATCGCCGGGGCGCTCGCGCCGTCGACGACCCGCCGAAGTCAGTCAAGCACTTGCTCAGGCGGACCCTGAACGACGTGATCGCCGAGGAGAACCTGGACAAGCAGGGCATCGACGGGCACAAGCCCAAGCCCCCGCCGACCTCGGCGCCCACCTACTGTGCATACTGGTTCTGCTCGACGCTACCCGCCAACACACGCGGCGCCCGGATCCCCTGGCAAAGCCAGGAGGCCGGCCGACGTGTGCTTGGTTGGTGCTCGCACCCTTGCACGTCGCCGCAATGCCCTCATTTTGAAGACCTTTACGACGTGGACTCGCCGGGCCTAGGCCGCTGCCTGCGTCCCGTCGTCGAGGGCAACGGCCGTGACCATATCGGTCACGAGTGCGCCGCGTGCCATGGCATGGTCGGCGCACAGGACTGAGATTTCACGACGCCAGCGGGTGCCCCTGTCACCCGGCTCCGGCCATCGGGTCGGCACCGCTGAGGCAGTCGACGGCGGCGGGGGCAGGATCAGAGCCCACCGCCGCCCTGTATTACTTATCTTCTTTTCGACGTTCTCGTCGTTGCCAGAGTTGCCTAATCTCGGCGGTCACGCCGCACGGTGCCTTTTGGCGGAGCCCGACGCACCCGACAAAAAGAGTGCCGTGCACCTGTTGCCTCGTCCGTCGCGCCTGCCGTCGCTGTCGGCTTCTCTCTCTCTCTTCGTTCGTTCTCGGTCGTCGCCGTTGCCTTTTCTGCTTCCGCCGCAGCCTTTTCTGCTCTGGCTCGAGACGCCGACTAGCACTAGCCCCCTGCATTCCCCGACCCAGGACGCCGGTCATGAACCAACAAGTCGCATCGTCGGGACCCTCCGCGACTGTCGCCGACTTCTTTCGCGACGTCGCCTCGGCAGGCGGTTCGGCCTACATCGCTACCTTGGCCACGTTCGGCGCGATCAACACGCCGGCAGTGAGGGACTCCTTCGCCGTCCTTTTGGAGAACGGCGTGCCAGAGGGCCTCTTGCTGCAGATCCTGGCGCCGGTGCCGCCGACGCAGCCGGAACCAACGGCGGCCAGGCCACCCAGGCACGACGTGCCGCATAGAAGGACCCTACCCCGGGCATCCTTGACGGCGGCCTTGGAGGCTATGGACCCCGGGCGACGCCAAGACACACTGGCAGCCATCGACGCCAATCTGCTGGCATCGTCGACCCGACGGGCCATGGAGTCGCGAGTGAGGACGGTGAGCGCCCTGGCCGACAGAGGTCAGTTCCCCCTCTTCCCGCTCGACGCCAACAAGCTTCACACCATCGCCGGGGCTATGCGGATCGCCGGCTACAGATCGACCGGGCTGTACCTCGACGCTGTGGTATGGCACCAGGAGAACACCCTCCACACGCCGGTCACACCTGGACTTCGACGTGTGGTCAAAACCCTGACCAAGGCAGCGGCGAGGGGCCTGCCAGGGTCCAGGCTCAAACAGGCATTCGACCTCGACGAGCTCAGCAAGTTGGTCGACGACACGGCGCCATTCGGGCCCTTCAACGCCGGCCTGGTGGCTCATGCCGTCGATGTTGTCATCGTCGCTACTTGGTTTATGCTGAGGGAGGTGGAGCTCGCGGCGGCCCGGGTCAGAGACCTCGGCGTGACCTTGTCGACGGTGTCGCTCGACATACCCCTGCACAAAACGGCGCAGGGGGGGCAGGCCGACCTCACACGACGCACTTTCAGGTGCGTTTGCACTTCGACGGCCCACCCACTCTGCCCAAGATGCGCCGCACACCGCCGGCCGACTTCCTGTTTCCGACTAGACCGACGGTGCAGAGATCCAAGGCGGAGTCGGCAGAGATGTTTCGGCTGGTGCTGGACGCCGCCGGCTTCGAGACGGTGTACCTCGACGAACAAGGCAAGCGCCGCTTGATCTTCGGCGGCCACGCCGCCAGAGTGGCAGGTGCGACCTTCATGGCGATGAGGGGGGTCCCGGTCGCCGTGATCCAGCTGCTCGGCCGATGGGCCTCCACCGCCGTCGAACGGTATGTCCAACAGGCACCCCTCGCCGTGGCAGCAGGCGTTCCAGCCCAGGCCTTGGCAGCGCCGAGTTCGTCGACAACAACGCCGGCCCAGCCCCTGGCGACACCGACGCCGCCGGCCCTCATGGACTTGTTGCCGACGGGGAACTCAGCAGGGCACGCCGATACGGCGGTGCCGGCCCCGCAGCAGATGGTGCCCAACGTCGACTTCGCGGCTGAGGTGCCCGGCGTGGAGTTCGTGCCAGAACCCGCCAGGATGCCGGTAGCCGACGCGATCGGCGACTCGGCGCCCCGGTATGTCATGAACTGCCGCACCAAGATGGTGCACACGCCGGGGGTCGACGAAGCGTCGACAGAAAGGTCGGATTGGCAGGCCAAGTGCGGCTGGCCTTACGGCGTGCGACAGTTCTTTCGCCTGTCCGAGCTGCCGCCGGATCCGGCCTTATGCCGCAAGTGCTTCCCGACGGAAACCGTCGATGTTGAGGCACCGGAGGCGATCGACTCGTCGTCGAGCTCCTCGTCCTCCACTAGCGGAGCGACGTCGGACTCCGACTGAGCGACGCCGGGCTTGACCGACGGATCGCCGTCACCATTTTCCGCCGAGGGGTCGCCGGCAATAGCCGTGTGCGGCCCCGACGGCTCTAGCACCAACTGGACGACGACCCAGGAAAACCACACACAGCCCAGATCAGATCACCGTCGAGGGCTCGCGCCCGGAACTTAACGACGGATGTCTCACCCGTAGCCCTTTTTCTATCGAGCACGGAAACCGACTTGGGACGCCGTAGGTGTTGGTTGCCATGGCACTCCCGACGGTCGCGGCCTCAATGGTGCAGCTGGACGACCTCCTCGCCGCGGCCGGCGCCAACGACAGCATCAAGAACTACATCACGGCCCGAAAGATCACCACGACGCCCACATTGGCCCTGATCGCCAAGGACGTCGAGAGGTTCACGACGCACATCATCCACCCGTACATCACCGGCATCCGCATCGACGGCACCGATCACAAGGTGGAGGACGGGCAGGACGATGTGGCCACGGCGGTCATGACCCACTTGTTCGTCGAGGCCACACGCCAATGGACGGCCGCTTCGTCGTCGCCGGTTCCAGCCCCGGCGGCCTTACCTGCGCCGGCGGCGGCGCCGCCATCGACGGCCGCGCCGGCTATTCCTGACAGGCCTCCCAAGACCTTCTCGGCGTGGAACCAGCAGGTCAACATCTACGAGGAGCGGCGCCTCGACGGGAAACGGCGGACCTTCCCAGCACATGAGCTCCTTGGCGCCGAGGAGGTGCTGGCCAGGATGTGGTTCGAGCACACCACCTCCAAGATGTATACGCCGGTCACCCTCGGCGAGATCGTGTCGCGACGCACCTGGACGGCGGCCCGGACCTTGAACCCTCTGGCGCTGTCCAGGTCGACGTCAGCCGCTAGCTCCAAGGCGCTGCGGCTTGAACACGGCCTCCTGCTCCAGGAGGAGCCGACGGAGTGGGTACCCAAGGGCCTCTTCTCCACTATCGACGGAGCCAACGCCGCCCGGTGGGCATGGATCTTGCTGGGCATCGGCGAGGAGACCGACGTCATGACATATGTCGACTGGTTCGTGGCCCGCGCCAGGGATAAGTCCAACCACGTCGCAGCCCTCCAGGCATACTGGCAGCGGACGTCGTGGAACCTGGCGATGGCACTCAGGAACAACCGGTCCTTCGGCGAGGCCACCAAGGAGATCATGGACGACGTGGCCACGTGGCAGGAGATCCTCCTGTCCACGCCGCACCCGACCAAGAGATCCGAGAAGGAGATCACCGACCGCACCGACGCCCCCAACGGCCAGGAAGAGGACGCCGACGACCAGCAGGCATGGACCGGAGGCGGCGGTCGCGGTGGCCGCAAACGACGACGCCAAGGGGGCCGGGGCCGAGGGCGCGGACGCGGCGGCAAAGATCAATCACAGGGCGGCGGCAAGAAGAACGAGCAGGACACCAACGCCGGCTGGTGGCAGCAGAAGACCGACGGGAAGAACCAACAGTGGTGGCACGGCGGCAACGGCGGACAGTCCAGCCAGCCAGAAGGCCAACGCCCGTGGCGCGGCAATGGCCAAGGCCGCGGCAACCGCCGCTAGGGACAGCACGGGGCCCCGTCGAACGCCCCCGCTGACGACGGGGTACCCGACCCACCGACCAAGAAAGTGAAGCTCTCAGGCCGGCGACCTAAAGGCGACGAGGTGATCGTGCTGTCCGCTTTCGACGGCGTCGGCGCGGGCCCGTGGCTGGTGTGGGACCTGGTTGGCCAGCCTAGAGCGGTCTTCTCATGGGAGGTGGACCGGGCGGCGATCCAGGTCATCGACTACCACATCCCCGACGTCCGGCACCGCGGCGACATCACGGAGGACACGCCGAAGGACCTGGCCAAGGACATCGAGGCGGTCGACCCCGACGCCCAATGCATCATCCTGTTTCTCGCCGCCCCGCCGTGCCAAGATTTCTCCAGGATCGGCGACAGAGCGGGTCACGGCGGTGATAGAGGCTACCTCTTCAACTTTACGGCTGAGTACGTCGCCGAGCTGACGCCGCTGATAGCACCTCGACGGCTTGGGAAATTGGTCGAAAACGTCGAGATGACGCAGGCAGACGCGGCGGCGGCCACCAAGGCACTGGAGTGCGAGCCCATCCTCTCCGACGCCGCCGACTTCGGATGGATCGGTAGGTCCCGCCTCTGGTGGTCGACGATCGACTGGGAGGAGCTGCCTCGCGACCCCTCGACGGGAGAACATTGGACATGGGCTCTACACCGTCGCTGGAACAGACTGCGGCTGGACTCTCCCAGGGCAGCAGCCGACGACTTCGACCTCGACGGCCTCAAGTTCTCGGACTCCGTCGCCAGTGGCAGGGTCAGGCTGCCATGTGCGACGACACCAGCAGCCGACGAGGGAGGCAGAGCCGCACCAAGGTCGACGAGAGGGAAGATCACGTCGGACACCCACCAGCGGTGGCTCACCGGCGGACGGCAATTTGCGCCGTGGCACTACGCCAGAGACGCCATGATGACCGACGACCAAGGTCGACTACATCTGCTGCCGCCGAAGGTGAAAGAGCAGCTTCACCACATGCCGGCCGACTACACGGCGAGATCCACCGCCGGAGCACTCGACGACCGCACTCGACATCGCCTCATCGGCAACGGCTGGCACTGGGGAGTCGCACGACGTCTTCTTTTGGCGCTGTTGGTCTTCACAGCCACGGCACCGACGACGGCGACCCCAGTACCAAGATCACCTAGCCGATCGACGTTACAGTGGGTGGCTTCGTTGTGGGGACCCGGCGGTCCGATCATGGCGCCAGCTCCGCCGCGGACAGGTGTGGCGTACATCCAGGACCTCGACGAGCAGGCGCACTGGGACGCATCATGGTCGATGTCACACCCGCTGGCAGACGACGCCCCGTTGGAACCGTCGTGGGAACGACTCCTGGTTATTCGTCGAACTTGGCGCCACGACCTGGTCAGGATCCGAAGGGAAGTCGTCGACGAGGTCCGCACCATGATCGAGGACACAGCCGACGAGACCAGGGAGTGGCTAGCCGCCAGATCGTCGTGGGTCAGAGCTACGTACTCGACGCCGGATAAGCCGGCCCCGACGCAGGTGCTCGTCTTCCTACAGCTGCTCCGCCTCGTCGACTACCCCGACATCGACGCCCTCGAACACGACATGACGGAGGGCTTCCAGATGATCGGCGACATCCGGCCAGGACCAGGATGGAGGAAAAGGGACGACGGACGCTACCAGCACCCGACGGACATGGACACCTTCCGCCGGACCAACGCAGAGTACGTCCGCCGCAAGGTCTCCCAGCACGACGGCGGTGAATTCGCCGATCAGCTGCTCCAGGAGCTCATCGCCGAGAAGAAGCTGGGCAGAGTCATCGGCCCAACGACAGCGCCGACATGGCTGCACACCAAGGCCACGGCGGTGCCCGACCAGATCGAGGTGGACTCCCTGGTCGAACCGCCGCCCGGCGAACACTTCTTGGCAGGGTCCTTCCCAGTCTGCCAGACCGACGAGAAAGGCGACCTAAAGGTACGACGTGCCGAGGACTGGCGTCGCAGCGGGCACAACGCCACGGTCTCGGTGGACGACGTGCCGACACACCACTTCATCGGCAGCTTCGTCGACCTGGCACGACGCATGGTTCAAGACACCCCCGACGTCGTGGTCTTTGGCAACGACCTGCTCAACGCTTACCGCCAGTGGCCAGTTCGACGACCGGCGGAGTGCGGCACCTTCCTCTCGACCAAGCACGGCGTGACCTTTTGGTACCACCTGGCCATGAATTTCGGCGCTACGGCGTCGGTCTGGAACTTTAACAGGGGAGCCGACGCACTTCAGCAGCTACTCAGGGGACTGCTGCTACTGGCGACGGGTCACTACGTGGACGACTTTAACGGCCTCGACGACGCCCTCCTCGGCGAGTCGGCGATGGTATCGTTCCAGGACCTCTTCTCGGCGCTGGGCTTCCTCACCAAGGCGTCGAAGGCACAACACCCGGCGAAGAACCACATCGTTCAGGGCGTGGAGTTCCAGGTCGACGCACGGGGAGTCACCCTCAAACCGACGACGATTCGGGTAGACAAGATCATGGGACAGATCCGCCGGGCGCTCGACCAGGATACACTGTCACCCGCCGAGGCCGCCAAGCTCGCCGGAAGAGTGTCTTTCCTGACACAAGCGGCCTTCGGATCCGTCGCAAAGGCCGCGACGAAAGCGATCTACGCCCGAGCAGCCGACACAGCGGCATGGACGGCGGACTCCCTGTCCGACGGTCTCTCGGCGGCCCTACGATCCTTGGCCAGGATCTTGCCGACGATCAGACCCAGGTTCATTCCGTTCGACGCCAAGGAGATGGAGGTCGCGATCCTGTACGCCGACGCCTTCTTCACCGACGGGGAGACCAGGCACAAGGCCGGCCAGGTACCCCAAGGGGTACGGCCGACGAAGAAGGCGGCGAATGGATGGGGATACGTGCTACGCATCGGCGACCAGGTCTTCTTCGACCACGGCGTCGCGCCGGAATGGTTTGTCAAGCTCTTCTCGACGAGGAAGGCATACATCTACATGCTCGAAGTGCTGGCCCAGCTCGTCGCCTTCGTCACCTTCGGCGCCCGTCTGCCGCCGGCCATTATAGCATTCATCGACAACACCGCCGGACAGGCAGCCCTTACGAAAGGATACGGGAAAGACGCCGCGGTGAACGGCATGATCTCGGCCTTCTGGACGCTTGCGGCGCACCAGGGGTGGTTCGTCGAGTTTGAGCGAGTTCCCTCCAAGGCCAACGTCGCCGACGCAGTCTCCAGAGACGACTTCAGCAGGGCGACGGCCGAGGGATGGCACAGAGTCTCCACGCCGACCGACGAGATACTCTCCATCTTCGCCCGATCGGCGCAGGACCTTGAATATGCCACGACGGAGGCGGCGGACGACCTCCTTCAGCTGGCCAACGGCTTCCACGTCTGAGCCGGCGCGTGGTGGAGAGTCGGTGCGCACGGCGGGTGCAGAATGC